GAGATGATGTTGGGCCTTGAACTATTGATGGCCGATTGATACTTCGCAGGACTTGGGTACCTTGAAGTGGACGTGACTTCTGTAGGCATCGGTGACTTTCTATAGGATTGTACTTTCTCTTAGTATTAATACGCATAGTGCCTTATTCCTGTCGCACTTGCGACAACAAGACCCCTGATGAAGGCTGGTTTGGCGGGCCAGCCGAAACATATCGGGTCATTCCGCTGCTCTTCATTATTATATTTCAATTTTACGTCGCGTCCGGGTTTTTACGCACTTGCGACTTCTTTTGTCAACTTCTTTTGTCAACCTCTTTCTCTCCCTTCCCTTCTCTCTTCTTTTTCGTCTTCTCTCCCTACCCTCTTTTGTTCTGTCATCCTGATGCATGAGTTGGTTTGATGAATTATCCTTTTTGAAGTCTGTTTGTCTCGACAACTGCCTGCCCATGCTTCTGTATAGAGTGCAAAACACAGGGGACCAACATGTTTCACTTCAGGCATACTGCCTGATCATGCCGGGGGCTAGATGGTCAGCTTTAAATCGACAAGAGGAGTTGGACACACAGCTACCGGCGCCCTCCCTTACTAGAATCAGGGTGGTGGGGAACCAAAACAATGTTATTTTCCAATACGAACCCTCCACCCCGCAGCAAAATGGGAGTCGACGTGGGAGGGATCCCAAACAATGTCCCTGTGGCGATACACGGTGAAGAAGGGTTATAGAGCAGCACGGAAACCAGTTAGGATCACCGACCAAATCACTAAGCGTTGGGAGAGAGACTCCTCGCTGGGGCCACAGGGCTTCAAACACTTTCGGTGGTCCGCCATTCTCACACATTCGGCCGACTAGCCATAGAGCCCTTCAGTGGCAAATCATACATAGATGTCTGCCTACGTCGGAGTGGATCACATCATGCGCTGACCTGGAGGAAAATGGACTGCTCTCCTCACTGTGCTCTTACTGCTCTCACACACTTCCCAACAGAAGAGCTACCTTGGAGCACTGCTTGTTGGAATGGCCCATGGTGCTCCAACAGTGGAGATGGTGGGACGCAATGTGGTACTACCTTACAGATCACCACCTCCCCTGGGAAGTGCCCATCCTCCTACTAGGGGCCCCCTCGACAGAGGCCGGGGAATGGACCTCGTTCATCACTAATCTGTTCACATACTCCAGACGAACCGTGCTCGTGGCAGCCTGGAGGATGCACTGCTCCTATGAGAGAAAACAGCATAACCACGACTTCATGCAAGCCCGATCACAACGATCAGCGGTAATAGATACGATCTCAGCTCATACTCATGCAGCCTGAAAAGAAGTGCAGAACAAGATGGTCACTGAGATGGACATTGAGAAAAAACAAAGACTGTGGAACAGCTTTGGGGAGACATGGACTGATTCAAACCAGAGACTCTGTAGTCTCAATGATGATAACACCCCCACATCGCATCCCTGGCTCCCCTCTGAGAGGCTGTGACAACCCACTTTTTGTGCCACGCGACTTTCTGCGCAATGACAATGAGGGGTTCTGAGATGGGAGGGTTGGGCAAATTGCGGGAGGTGGGATCGGTGGGTAAATTGCGTCAGTGTCCTTGCTTCTTTTTTTTCCTTCGCTTCGCTCCTTCCCCTTTGGCGGTAATGGGACAGGCCCGGGACAGACGGTTGAGTGTGYGCGCCCCGTTGGGCGCGATCAATAACGGTTGGCGATGGTTCTTTCTTGCTCYGCTGGGAGTAAAAGGAGGGAACAAAGATTTTTAGCGCGA